GTTTTTTTATATTCAATGAAATTTCATAATAGCTTCAAATAAACAAATCACAACTGAGCAGAAGTGTTATTAACAAAAAAAAAGATTGGCATCTCAATACTAAAAAACTCATCTTTGAAATCACGGTTCAGAAATCGGTGCATTCCTATAGAGCAAATAATTCTCTAAAAAAAATGAAACGTTTTCCTGACCAAGATACATCAACCTTATCAAAGTTACACAAGTCATTTTTTCTACTTTCCGTAAGATTGATGTATCTGGATGACAAAAAAACGTCCTAGAGAGCTGGAAGATGTTTCATTTTATAGAGAATTAATTACTGGCGAAATTTCAGAAGATGAAAACCTTAGGTTTCAGTATCTGAGAGATTATATCCTCAGTAATTATTTTCATCTTCGAAAATTCCTTGAAGCAGATCACGATTTAAATTCTTATTAATGTTAACGATAAATAAACTTGCTCGAATAATTTTGAAAGTCACCGAAATAGACAGTATGACAAGCGAAAATATCTCAAAAAATGGGTAAAAACTCGGGTTTTTGTGAAAATTATGATGAAAACGAATGTAGACGAAAAAAGAAGCTGACAATTTATGCCTTTGTTGTTCGAAAAACGTAAATATTTGTTATGCCTATCTGCTTGATCGTTGTATATACACCTACACATAGAGAAGAAAAAAAAACAAAATACGCCATTCAGCATGTTACGTACCTGTATAGAAAATATTTTTATTTGTATTATTTAAGACTATACACCAGCATTTTCCTGTTTGGCTTTTGCAAAGAAACCTCATACAGATATATTTAGTACAAGTATACCTGATGCTCGATGTCATCTAGCGAAATGTTTACATACATTAACAGCTGCTCATCCGAATCAAGTTTGTTGATTGTTTTGTTTTTTATCGATTCAAAAAAAAAAAAAAAAAACATTTTTTTCTTTTGTAGTTTCTTAGTCTAATGAAAAGTGGTCTGTCAACGGAACATTTATCACATATACAGAAATATTGTGCATTGGCTAATGTTACACTTATATGATTATGATCAGATACTTTTCTTTATTTTTCTTTTTTTTTTTTGACAAAATCTATTTTCTTTAGTGAAAAAAAAACCTGTATGAGACAAAAAAAAAAGCAAACGAATAAAATTCATTGATGATTATATAAGAATAACATGTGAACTTCTTCTTTTTCTGTTTTAAAGATGAAATAATGGCTCAACGTACTCCATCACAATCAAGTCTTCATTCATTGAGTGATTCTCAGTCAACCGTAACATATAAATCAGAGTCAACATTAGATTCTCGATATTCATCGTCTAGTACATTATCTAAGCATTAATCGGATATTACATTATCAAAAAAAAAAACAGATGAGAAAGAGATTTTTAATATTTCACAATAGGAGATTAAAAAAAATCATTTTTGTGTAGAACTTTATTTAGTAGATCAATAACATGCTTTCGTTATGTTTGATGATGTCTTACAATATTGTAAAAGACTTATAATTGAATCAAGATATAACGACAACTAAGATAGATTATTATCTTATATAGTTCAGGTTTTCTAATAAAAAGTTTTGTTTTTTCTTATTGTAATTGATTCACACGAAGAAAAAACGTGATTAAGGTTATAGTTGAAAAATTGAGACCGTAAGATTTTTAGCGTTGTCTCGATAAGTATTCAGAATTTTGCCGTATGAGTTTGAACTTAATTTAAAAAAATTGATGCACATCTAATTTCTTCCTTGTACTTTTGTACATATTTTACATACTTATATTGTTTCTGGTATTTTTCTTAATTTCTCAATGAAACAAAAGACTATTCAGATACTTCGTCACGATGATTCTCTGGAGTTAAAAATATTCTGTAAAGCTTCAGTTCAGATGATTTATCATGGCATCAAGAATACTATATCAAGTCATCGACGACGTTATGGACTCATGAATAAAATTGGAACAGGTTTTCGAAGAGTATTTCGACGATTTGGACGTTCATCAAAATTATTGAGCGAAATGGAAATACAAATATTATTATCAATAACAAATTTTACTCGTGAAGAAATTCTACAATGGTAAATAGATAAAAAAAAGAAAATTATCCATAATAAAATTTATTTTTTAAGGCATGAAAAATTTTTAGCTGATTGTCCACATGGTTATATGACTCGAAAAGAGTTTATATTAATGTATAAATCATTATGTCCAACTGATGATGCTGAACGTTTTGCTGGTCATATATTTCGTGCATTTGATATTGATAAATCAAATACAATTGATTTTCGTGAATTTCTTATTGGTTTATCAATGACATCAACAACAAGTTCACCACAAACTAAACTTCGATGGATATTTCAAGTATTTGATATTGATGGAAATGGTTTGTTAACACGAAAAGAATGTTTAGAAGTTATTGATATTATTGTACGATTTAATCAAACTCAATTAACAGATGAAGAAGATCATGAAACAGAACGATTAGTTCATTCAGCTAAACGTTCTATGATGAAAATATTTGATAATATATCTGGAGATCGATGTAATGCATTAACAATGACACAATTTATTGAAGGATGTCAAAAAGATGAATTTATCTCAAAATTATTAACACCAACTCCAGAATCTGAAAATGGATCAACAATTATACAAAATACAGAGAACATTCCGATAGTTAACGAATAATAAAATCCAATTTATTTTCTCTCATCGTGCTTTCATTTTTAATTTGTATGTGCAATGCAGATTGGTTTATCTCAAATTATTTTTGCATTTATTTTCGTATTAGAACAAATAAATATTCTGTACAAGCAATCAAGAAAAAAAAAACAAACATGTATATTGATTTCTGTTCAAGTCTATTCTTATCAATTTTGATCGATCATTGTTTTTTTTTTCATAATTAATTTTAAACTATTTTCTATCATCTTCGTTTTACATATATTAATGTAGGAATGCATTTGAGTTACTTGTTTCAAAAATATGTTGATAATCATAGACAGAGATTTGCTTAGCAACGATAATCGATATGTCTACTTTTGATTTCTATCATATTGAATAAATTGAGTATATTTTTTTTTTGTCCTGAAGATCTTACGATTACAATCGAACTTCTAATATGTTAATAATTCATTCTATTATAGAAATCAGATATGATTTTGTGTGTATATTTATTCAGTACTTAACATTTGACTATAAATAAAATTAGTTATCTCAGATTTTATAATTTAGATTTCAATAGACACTACTAAAGGTTTTACTTCCGAGTCGATTCTATCTTGTTTAGTTTCCATTCGATAACTTTTCAGTTCGGTTCTAATATTATCAATGACAATGATTCATAGTTATATTAAATATAATAACCTGTATAATAAAGAATAACAAGAAAAATACAACAGTTATCAATATCTATAACACACAGACACTTTATTCATATGTTAGTGTCCAATTTGAGATCTGACATTGAATGGACATATTCTCGGATTGATCAATTACAATACATTCAATCTAAGATTCATCTGAAAGGTTTAGGCGAATTTCAAATTGGTATAGACCAATAGTAGATTGAAAGATTACTACGGCTAATCTAGAATCGACTAATATTAAATTAAAGCAAAACTTAACTATGACAAATAGAATTTTGTTACAAACAAAATACAATAACTAATCATTAGCAAACAACACAAAAAACATCAACGAACAGTGTGGGCCTGGATGTACTTGTTCTTTTCATCCTATACCTACAATTGAGATATAAATTAACTTTTCTATTTTTTCCAAGATTGTTTTAGCATAAACAGTGATTCAATTTCATCCATATTTTTTCCTATTTCAGTTTTTATTCAATACAATCTTTGAACTGAACCAACATTTCCACATAGAGTGCAATATACATTCTAAAAAAATTGTTTTTTTTTTTACGAAACCTATAAAGATTCTTCCCATGAATACAAACTCGAAACCATTTTCAGTTTCGTACAAAAATCGCAAAATTTTCTTCATTTTACAGGTCTTTATAAAAGTTTAATGCTTTTGTACGAAACCAAAAAAGATTTCGAGTTTGTATCCACGCGAACAACCTTTTAAGAATTCTGCAACATATTTTTTTTTGAGAGTGTACTAAGTCTCTAATTCAATATTGGCCGTATTAATTTTTGAATCCAGCATCGGTCGTCTAGACAAATATGTGACTCGTCTAAAATTGTCTAGTGAATCTTACATCGGACATTTTGTAATTGATCAATCCGATAACAGTATAAATTCATGTTCATCTCATGTCAGATCATAGATGAGGGCTGGACGATATTCCTCAAAAGTGGGAAATTATTTCAAATCAAGCGGAGATGCTTCAACTCACAAAAGAAACAAACAGAAATGCTTTTCTAAGAAACAACATTCCTTACATTAGATCATTTACACTAGAGCAAATCGAATACATTCTAAGGAGAAATTCTTGTAGAAATGGATTTTTTTTCAACAGAAATATAAATTCCCGATAGAGAAATGATTCATCCGTTTGTATGTTGATCAGTAGAAGTCAAAAACGAAAAGTCATCCATCGAATAGTGATTGGTAGATACAGGTTACAATATTCTTCCGTTCTCTTTCTTGTTGCCGATGTAGTTCTTGATACTAAATGAAACTTTACATTCTTTTTTTTCTATTTCTCCTTAATATGTGTGACTTTTCGTGGGGTGAACCGTCTCCGCATAAACGGGAATAATTTTCCCATTGATTGGCCCAATTGTCCACTTCTGGCATAGGGTACGATCAAATCAGGAACTGACTCTACTAAATCATGTACTTTATTTGATGTAGACTTCTGTCATTCGTTTGTCGTTGCAACAATAATATCCGAACTGATAAAGAAAATATAAAGTGTTAACAAAATATAAAAACTGTGAAACGAGAAGTAATCGAACGAAAAAAAAAAGCACATGTTATTTTATGTAAATAAAGAAGCAAACGTATGTTACATTCATCTATCGTCAAAATAACAAAACTTCAATGATGAGTTTGAAAGAGACAATCAATCAAATTTTTAATAATAATACCAATTATTTGCATGCACAACAAATACTTAATCAAGCTCGATCACTCAAATCTTTATCGAATGATTTATATACTGATCCACTTCGTTTTGTTTATGAACTTGTACAAAATTGTGATGATGCTTGTCAGCCAAAATCTATAGTACGCATTGCCATTGTGGATCATCATTATTTAATTGTTGGTCATAATGGAAAACCATTTGACAGAGAAGATGTACAAAGTCTATGCGATATTGGATGTAGTACAAAAGGAGAAGATATGCAAAAAACTGGTTATAAAGGTTTGGGATTTAAAGCTGTTTTTGGAAAATCTGATTATATATTAATTGTATCTAAAGGAGAATATTTTCGATTTGAAGCTAATTCTAAAGTATTTCAATGGAATCCAAAATGGGGAATTAATCAAATGACATGGGAACAAATAAATAATAGAAAATTTGAATTTCCTTGGCAAATATGTCCTATTTGGACTGAAAAAAATGAAATATCTGAATCAATTCAAAAATGGCTTTTAGGACAATCAGATGCTGTAGCAACTATAATTCGTTTGAAAAATGTTGAAGAAACACAAAATGCTATCAGACAACTAACAGATCAATCTCATGTATTTATGTTTCTTCGAAATATTAGAACTGTTCGATTTTCTTTTAATTCTTCAAATGAGACAAGTTTAAATATTACTATTCTTCGAGATGGATCTGTAAAAGTTGTATATGATTGGCATTTTATATCACATTGGTTATTATGTACATGTAATATAGATGTTCCTGATAATGCACGAAATGATTTTCGTTTACCAGAAAAACTTCAAAATGCAAAACAAACTGAAATTATTCTTGCTGCAAAAATTGATAGAAATGATAATATTGGAAGTGTTAAAGGTCATAATAATGCACTATTTGCTTATCTACCAACAAAAATAATAACCTACGATTTACCTATATTAGTCAATGCTAATTTTTTAACTAATGCTAGTCGAGAACATATTCATACAGACTCCGTATGGAATCAATTTCTTTTTTCTCGTATTCCACATGAAATGCTCAAATGGATAGGAAAACTTGGAAAACAATCGAAATGGCGTGATAAAGCTCTTGATCTTCTACCTAATCATATTGATATCAAAGACAATCTTGCTACAAAATACAATGAAAATTGTTCAAATGCAGCTACAGAAGTACCTTTTGTACTAAATACTTTTAATAAATTGTTAAAAGTTAGTGAAGCTGCAATCGATGTGACAGGCTTTTCAAATATAGATTGCATTGGAAATGATTTAATTCGTGATTTTATTTTACGTACTATCTCTCCAACACCTCGTATTGCACAGCATCCTTTTGTTCACAACAGGGGTGGAACCGGTTGAGAAATATTAAAACGGTCCGGTCCGGCCGGTTGAAAAATCCTACCGGTCCGGTCCGGCCGGAAACCGGCCGGTTGGAATCACATGTCCAACCGGTGAAATTCCGGTGAAAATCGGTTAAAAACCGGTGAAAAAATGTCGAATTTTTTTTTGAAAACCTATTTTTAGAAAAAATGGCTCCAAATATGAAATAGTTTAAGGCGCATGTAAAAGGCACTCATCATAATAAATCTTTTTAAAGAGAACCTCAGAAAAAACGATTAATATAACATATATTTTGAGTACTTTTTCACGTATTCTGACAGAAAAAACATGTGATACCTTAGTTTTTATGGTCAAAAACAGGGTTAACAAAGAAGATTTCTGAAAACTTTCAACCGGTAAAATTCCGGTCTTTACCGGCCCGGTCGATTTCTTCAACCGGTCCGGTCCGGACCGGTTCCAACCCTGGTTCACAATAGTAGAAGACTTCGTAAATATAATATTCTTGTCTTCGACTGGGATAAATGTTTAGACATGTTGAATTCTGATGATTTTCAAATGAATATTACAACTGAACAAGATATTCGATTTATTATCTATCTATTTAATAATCAACATCAACAACAAATTGAAGCTCGATTAAGAAAATTACCATTTCTTATGGATCACATGGGAAAACTTCGAATGACAAAAGAAATATTCGTACCATCACACTTTAATAATACAGATTGGGTAGAAACAAATGATATGGATCCCTATGTACATGATAATATAATGTTATGGCTACAAACTGAGCCTTTAATCTTTAAATGGCTTAAATCATTGGGTGTAATGGAGAAAACAGATGAAATATTTATAAATCAAAAGATTATACCACGTGTGCATAATTATATAACATTAGAAAATGCTCTACCTACTGTAAAGAAACTATTTAATAGTTTTCAACGTGGTGAAATACATAATGAACTTTTACATAAATTAAATAAACTGAAATTATTTTCTCTTGAAAATACTTTAGTATCTGCTGATGAATTATATTTTTCTGATGAATATTTACCTCGTCTTTCTTTAAATAATTTTGATCTGAATACGACAAAATTTCTTTCTCCAATCTATTTAAATGAAATTAATAATATTCCAAATAAAATTAAAGAATTTTTTCTTTTATTAAACGTACAAGAAGATATTAAATTAATTCGATTTAGTGAAGATCAACATAATGAAATTGTTTCAGCCTATCGATTTAAACAGACAGAAAATCTTTTTCAATACAATTCATTACAATTTCAATATTGTCTAACTCTTCCATTTCTTGATATTACTCAAACAAATTATGATTTTGCTCTTTATTTTTGGCAACATGTTATATATTCAATTAATAGCAATCAACTAAATGAAAAAGAAACACTCATTTGTAATCAACAACAATTACATAAAATTGATAATTTACCTTATTGGTTCGTGCGTGCACGATCTTGTATTCCAACTACTACGAAACAATTATTAAAAAGTACAGATGTTTTTTCAAGTGATTTAAAATTAATTGCTGGTGATTTATTACCTGTTTTTGCTTGTACTACTTCTATACCATTTTCTGCTGTTTGGCAACGTTTCTTTCAATTTAAAACTGAATTTTCCATTCAAGATCATATTCAATTATTAAATTTATTGTATGATCGTTTAAAGAATATTTCTCTTGATGACGAATATGAAACATGTATCCAACGTGTTTATACTAGTATGATCAAATGTCTTTCAAGTTTTGATAGAAAACATTTTGATCAATATCAACCAAAAGCACCTTTATATTTACTTAGTACAATAAATAATGAATTTCTTCCTTCAACAAATCTTGTTATATCATTAAATAAAGATATTATTTTACCTAATCAAATTCCTCAATTGAAATTAAGCACAGGAAATTCTCGTGATTCTAATTTAATATGTTTTCTTGATTTTTTTAATATACGACAAATTGGAATCAATGATTTAACATTAACTTCTAATATTAATGCACAACCTTCATTTTTCTTACGTGCAAAATTACGTGACATGCAAATATATTTATTTGAATTAACCAATTCTCGAAATATTAAGAATCATTGTATTGATTATGATCTAGAAATATTCGAAGTCGATCGATTAGATTTATACTATAATGAAACAATTCCTGTTCTACAAATACATATTCATATTATTGATAATCGATTATATGTTACACGACCTTGGAATTCAAATGAAGTTATGTTAAAATTACCTCAAATTCTTTGTAAACAATTCAAATTACCATTGAATATCGAATCAGATATTCGTCAATTTTTGCTCAATGAAACAATCATTCATTCGATGATGATGATGCCTAGTTCACTAAAGTCTTCAATAGATTTATTTAATATCGATGGAACTCGTGGAAAATTTGCTATGATTATTGATCGTGATAATGAACAACTTTTCAATCATCTAGGAATTACCAATACAACAAGTTCAGCTGAACTTCTTATTAAAGCACTTAATGCACAAATTTCTCCATTTGCTGGTTATGTATATCATTATACACATTTAGAAAATGCAGCTTCAATTCTTCATGATCATGCTATAAAATCTCGTAATAATTTATCTTCTAATAATTTCAAAGATTCAGCTGCTAAAGATGTTATTCAGAAAACTCGTATTGAAGTTAAGGATTATGCTCGTTTTTATTTTCGACCATTGACACCAACACAATATTGTAATGAAAATCTTGGTTTACCAAATCTATCGAATCAATATGGTAATCAACCTATGTGTCCAATACCAATTATTTTTCGTATTGATCTAGCAGCTATACTTTCTATCAAAGATATTCAATGGAAAGTTAGTTTAGGTAATATGGCAAGTCCTCAAACTGAATTTGATAATACATTAAATATTGTCAAAAGATTTGATTTTCAAGGTGTATTTTTTGATATAAGTACAGATCGTGGTAAATATAGTTCACAACAAGAATTTCTTATTAAATCACAATTAAATTTTAATCAACTTAAACAAGAAAATATTACAATTATATTTCAAGATGAAAATGCACGTTATAGTTTAGAACGTATGGTTTTATATGATTACCCTTCGAATATTGATACAACATTCTTTTATGGTTTTAATTCTCGAATAATAATAAGAAATTCTACTGATATTGATAATGCAATTGATGTGTATATTAATGACTCAGATTCATCAAGAGTTTATGGTCGATTAATTCTACAATTGTCGGGTCAAAATGAAAATCGAACAATACAAGGCATTTTGAATGCAACCTTTCAACGAGGTAACATATTAACCGTTTATGCAAACCAACAATTTTCGTTTATTAATAATATAAATGATACTCAATATGCTATCTTTTATGAATACGAAAATCAAGTATGGCTTATTCATACAAATTCACCTCAAGTACATTTCATTTCACCAACATAGTAAGATGATTATACTATCGCAAATAAATTTTTGAACAGTATAAACATTTATTTTTTTATTCATATGAGTGGATTCTAGTATCTATTGTATTATTTATTCGGTGATAGTTAGGCATGTATCAAGATTGAGAGACTCAATCTTTGTGCATACTTAGCAATAATGTTTTTCTATCTCTTTCTTAGTCTCTAACGTATTCATAGTTTCCTGATTGGGAAAAAAGTTAAGTTAATTAATGTAGAAGTTTTAGTATTTTGAGGATTGAAGATAAACGTATTAAACTAACGAAAGAACCTCCTTAGATGTCCCCTTTCGGTTTCAATGATTTTTTTTTGCCTATAGATACTTTATAGTGTTTTAATAAATACCCTAATGGAATATGGATTCCTATTAATATTTAACTAAACTATTGAATTTCTATCTCAAACTTGATACATATAGAAAATTCAATTAGACTAACCTTCATAAAAAAATTCAAAAGTTTCTTTTTTGAAAACTTGTAAATTTTTCTATGGAAGCTAATCTAGTTGAGTTCTCTATATGCATGAACTTTCAGATAAAAATTCGATAATCTAATTAAATCTCAATAGGAACCTAAACCATTTTAAGGTTTTTATTAGAAAACTATGTAGTATCTAGAAGTAAAAAAAACCCATTGAAATCAGAAGGGAGCATCTGAGGAGGTGCCCTCAAAAGTTTTAAAAGCACTGACATAGTTGAATGAGTTGTTATAAGTTTTAAATTTCTCTATTGATACATATAGTTTTCACTTAGATTCAGTTTGCATGTTTTTTTTATCCCACGTTAAGCTGTCATTTAGAGTTAAATCGATGTAGTAGTTTGATTTTCGTTTTCATGTTCATCGGGTCACTTTTTAATAGCTCGGGTCGGCCCTCTCAATCAATTTACCTTGTTCGTTCGGCCTGACTCAACTTAGAATGACTCTATTGCTATTATATTCCTTTTACAAAAGCAATTTCTAAACGATGGAACTCCACAAGCCGTGCAGTTATTTATTAGAATACTGGAAAAAAGTTTATTATCATAGTGATCACGAGTTGAATTAATGGCGGGGCAATTTTAATGCTTGTAAAAACAGCATAAGAGATAAGTCGAGTTACTTATTAAACCGAAAGATCAAGATGCGTTCGTGGATATTACAATTTCTTGAACCCTATCATTTATTAATATTATCTTTCACAACTAAAATGTCCCCTGATCAATTACTATTTTTAATTACGCTATTCCATTTCAGTAAAGCCCACACCGCTTAATGTAGCTGATGAATTTCGTTAAACCGACTAAATGCTCTGCTTCTATTTATTAGCGGAATGAAATTTCCAAAAAGTTCGTATAATAAAGACTTCTGATTGCTACCGAAGACGAGGTAAAAAACCTATGTGAGGAATTTCGACAAAAAAAAACAGAATAAAATCATACAGACACTATCGATTGTATAAATTCCGAACGTTAATCGATTTTTTTCTCATTTTTCAATAATTTACATTTCGCTGATGTTCAATGATTTGTAACATACACTTCGTTCCATCTCATTTAAATTACAAACATTAAGAGAGCGTATACTATTAACTTATTCTTATTTTCTTAAAGCATAGATATAAAATTTTACCATGAGTATCTACGAATTTTTATCTTCATAAATGTCAAACTACTCTCCATTGACTGATGATAGTTCTAAATGCAGACATTAACCTTTTCTTTGAACTCATCCTTGGAAATAAAACAAAAAAAGCCGATAGTATAGATGCTAGAATCACTCATATAGTTCAACAGTTTAACTGGTTGACCTTTTCTTTTTTTAATAAATATAATTACCTATTTTGATTATCTAATATAAATTTATAATAAAAAATAATTTCAAATTGAACATAGACATCCATTAAATAATTAAAATAAATCATTGATGTGTTAACTTTATCTATCAAGCTTTCATATTGAATCAATGTCAAATAGAAATATTCTTGTCGGAAACACAAAAATAACAAGAGAATTTTAAGTTAATCATATCACGCAAAACATTTTCTCGATAATTAACAGAACTATTCTAGAAAAATTTTTCAATATTAAATATATGTAAATTTTTCATAGAAACAAAAACAAAAAAGACTCATCTCATTTTTCTATTTATCTAATCATCTGTTAAGCACATGTGATAACCTTGATACCAATAAAAAAAAAATATCTTATAGCTTGATGGCATAAAGAATTAAGATCAAAAGATACAGTGTTGTATCAACAAATAAACTCAAATACATATACAGACTTCTAAGATCAACAAAAAAAAAAAAAAAAGAAATGAATGAATAGCTTGATTTTCTGATCATAAATATGATGACAGACATACTATCAACGCTCGTTGTGTCAATCATTGTTGTATGTTTATACAAATGTCAAAGTGCGTGAATGACTGCACAATAAGACACGCGTTAATTTCTGTAATTAGTGACGAAACACATAGAGACATAGACATCAGGAGAAAGGTATTATTCCATCTGTTATTTAATCTACATAGTAAAAATCACATGATGGATGTGACCTTGCCTTCAAGATAAAGAAGAAGAAGAAGAAGAAAAAAAAAGAGAGATGAAGATTAATTATTGTTGTTTGTATTATTGTTCGAACGTCGTGTTGTTCCTGTCATCGGTGACAAAGACAAGTGAGGATAAAAGAATGGTAACTGATCATTGTTATTTAACATCGATGGTGGTTTTAAATATGGATGAAAACGATGTTGATTATGATGTTGATACATAGAAGTCGTTTTTCCTGTTGATGTATGATTATGTCGTAAATGTTCAATAAGTTCATCAGCTGATGAAAATCTTGCACTACATGAAACCCAATGACAAACATATGGTTGTGTATGAATTGATGCAGCAAGAATATGTCGAACTGTTTCACATTGCAAACAACCTGGAACTGTACATGGTGTTGAAAATGAATGATATTGTTGTTGCTGTTGTTGTTGTTGTTGTTGTTGTTGTTGTTGTTGTTGAGCAGCTAGATAAGCAAGTGAAGAACGAAGAAGAAGTGCAGCAGCAGTTGTTGTTGGATCGAATAATTGTGGTAAATGTGATGTTAATGGATTTGATTCAATGAAAGACGATGATGGTAAAATAGTACTGGGTTTCACTGGAACAGTTGACTTTTTATTTGTAATTGTACTATTTGATTGTGATGGTGATGAACGTTTAGATGATAATAAAGATTTATCATTATTAGATGTTGATGAAAGAGTAGACGAAGATTTAGTTACAAGAGATGTTATAATAGGCGAAGCTGTATTAGGTAGCAATGATGTATTTAAAGATAAACATGAAGATGATGATGAAGGAGGTGATGGAGAATCTTTACCAATGCTCGAACATGTTTGAGCAAGTAAAGCTAATGGACTTTGACTTGAATCATACTACAATTTTAAAAGAACAAAACAAAACAAAAAAAAGTAAAGATAACAATTTTAATTTATTTATTTAAATGATAATTTTTTTGTTTTTAAATAACATACCGACGTTGATGAAGATGAAAAATTTGTACTATTAAGTGGTTGTAAATAATCTGGTTTTAAATAAGTATTAGTAGCTGTTGTGGAAGACATATTTATTTTTTTTTTTATTGTTAATAATAATAATGATGATGATCGCTTGTTATTATTATTTGTAATCTTTATCTAGAAAGTCAATGAATAAATGAATGAAAGCTTTTCCTGACTTCCTCTCTCCCTCTCTCTCTCTCTTTCTCTCGTTTTTTTTTCCTTCTCTTTCTTATGTTCTCATTTTTCTCTATCCAACTGTCAAGCGTACGAAAAAGAGAAGAGATTTGTGCGTGTGATAAATGATGATCATGCTTGAGACCTCCGAGCGAGTATACATATACACCGATGCTTGACACATGCCAATTATAGAGCAAGTAAGAAGAGAAAAGAAAAAGATGAGTGATGACAAGAACGAAGAAAGATTCCATCTATTCTCTCTCTGTCTCTTAAGTCTTCTCTGATGATAATGTTAGCTTGCCGCATGTTCTCCTATGTTCGATTTTTTTTTTATGTTGCTCTTATACGATCATAGAACTATAGGGCATCGATCAACTGTCAATCGGTTCAAATAGATAAATGTATATAAACGATGAGAAATGATAAACGAAGGCGCTCTCACATCTATATACAATTGATGTCAATGTATCTTCTTTTCTTTTTTTTGTACAAATAAAGTTCATTAAATGTCAAATATAAATGAATTGAAAAAGATATGTAATTTGATTAATAGATCATTTTTAAAAATAAACATTAATCATTGATCACATATGTTTTTTGTATTGAAAAAATGACAGGAGGTGGTAATGAAAAAAGATAGAATGCTTTAGAAAATTATCTTTTCAATCGATCTCATTATTAAATATGCTAAATAAAAAAAAATAGTTATGATTAATATCTTAGAAAAAGAAAAATGTAATTTCAATAACATAAATCATAGAATATGAATATTATCTTTCATAATAAAATAAAAATAATAATACGATATTTTTTATTTTTTTATTTTTCTTTGCATTAATACATATATATATAAAAATAAATCATTTTGATATATCTAATATATTTGTTTTAATATAAGATTCTTAATTAAATAAATTTTTCATATTATTTTATAAAGAAACAATATTTAATTCTATCGAATATGTTTATATTATTGAAACAAAACTTTTATAGTAATTTAGTCCATTTTAATGATGAATGTCGACAATTGTGACAGAAGAAACGAACTTTCCTGTCGACTTGTCATCACAACTGGCTGACCGACTGATAATGATGATCGCTCGACTAGCTGATGACATAAAACATGCACATAAAAATACATATATGTCTGTATATCGATCGTCTCGACATGCGCATGATCATCATCATCGGTCTCTCATTTGTCACTCACCCACACGAATAATGATCTTGATCGATCGTATAGCATATGAGACTCCACATCATGTTAGTA